CCAAGGCTCCCTTTATTATTATTTTTTAAAATTTATTTTATTTTTTATTTTTAATCTTCACCCAAGGATATTTTTTGCATTGCTTTTCAGAGAGAGTGGGAGAGAGAGAGAAACATCGATGTGAGAGAGACACATCGATTGGTTGCCTCCTGCATACGCCCCGTCCAGGGCCAGGGATGGAGTCTGCAACTTAGACACATGCCCTTGACCAGAATCGAACCCAAGACCCTTCAGTCTGCAGGCCGACGCTCTAACCACGGAGCTAAATCAGGAAGGGCCCAGGCTCCCTTTTGAGCCACCTGGGGCTTTTGCTCCGTTTCTTCCTGTATTGCTGTGTGGTGCCCAGCAAGTAGCTTCCCATCTCTGAGCTTTGCTTTCCCCCCTCACCGCCCTGTGGGTGTGAGAAGCTGATGCTCCCCCAGAGCTCCCTCTGTGAACTGGGGGTGAACGCGCCTGCACCTGCCACGGTCAGATTAAATGAGCGCCTCCACCTGAGGCGTGAGTGTACCTGGGGCACAGGTGCGACTCGGGCTTTGCTGGTGTGATGACTGTATTCCACTGAGTCCTCCGTGAGCGTGTTTTCTCATGAAATTGGGATGTGTCCTAAAACTGATGCAAGGTCAGGGTTCAACCCACAGTGCTTTGTTCTTCCCGGTGGCACGTAAGTTAATGGGGCGCTTTCCACGGGTGGATCTGGGCTTGACGGCCTGCACACGTGTTATCAATGACACAGGGTGTTGCAAAAATCCGTGCAGGGAATAGCCGGGAATACTGGTGACTCGGAAGTGTCATCAGGAGGCCAGGGCAGGTTGGCTCTGGGACCTGCACCGCCCACGACCATCAGGGCCCCAGAGCAGGTCCCAGGTGCACCACGGGCACTGTGCCCTTGGACCCCAGGCTGATGGAGCACTCAGCTCTCCTGGGGCCTCAGGGGCTTGGAGACGCCATCAGAACGTCATGACCTCTCATTCCAGAGGCAGAAGAGAGGGGTGAGCAAGTCAGCGTCACCATCAGTCCTTAGATGGTGACAAGAGCAGTGACTTGGGTAAAAGTGGGTCGTAGGCGCTTTAGACGGGGTAGTCCTGGAGGGCTTCTTGGAGGAGGTGTGACACTTGAGCTAAGACCTGCATAATGAATGGGAGGAACCGAGAGTTGGAAGGCCTGGGAGGGTGTTCCAGGCAGAGGTAACATTCAGAGCAAAAGGCCTCAGGCCAGTGCCAACTTGTTTTCTGTTGGGAAACAGAAAGAGGCCAAAGGTGGGGGCAGCCAGCCCAGGTCACAGCGCTCCAACAGGTGGGGCTGGGATTTGAACCTAGGGGCCTGCGGCTGCTGCACCTTCCTGAGTTACTGTCTGTGGGGCAAAGGAGAGGAGAGGGGGCAGCTCTGGGCTTGGGGACTGGGAGGGGGACGGAGGGCAGCCGTCAGAGGCACCTCTTACGTGGGGATGGGCATCCTGACCGTTCCTGGGAAGGCGCCAGGCCAGGTGTCCCTCCGGGTGAGAACAGGCAGCTATGTACCAGGGGCAGCGCAGGGGGAAATCCGAGGGTCTGTTTCGTTCTGAGCCTGGCCCTCCCGCACCTCAG